AATGATTATTTTTGCTTTTTAATATATATTAATGAGTGGCTTAAAAATTCCATTGAGATGTAACTTCTTTGTATCTGTCATATTTTCTTCAAAAGCAAAGAAATACATTTTACCCCTATGTTCCATTTGAGCCATAGTGGCTATGTTTCTTGACATACAAGAAAATAAAATACAAACTTTATACTAGATACTCTGAAACTCATTCAGCCCAAGTTTGGCTGAAATTGATTCATCAGTTTCAAAGGAGAAGATTTTTTAAAGTAAGCAAACTAGATGAACAAATTGTGAAAAATTGTCTTTACAGAGCAATAACTCCTTAAGGACACATTTGAAAATTTTGGTCAAATTAACTTATTTATAGATCTTACTTTGCCTAATGAACATTTTAATCTCTTATCAGATTTGCTCTAATTGCTTAAGTGTTTGAGATATATTAGCCAAAAACTGCATTTTACCCCTATGTTCTAATTTTAGCCATGGTGGCCATGTTTTTTGACAAAACAGAAAATAAAACACAAACTTTATTCTAGATACCCTAAGGATCATTCAACTTAAGTTTGGTTGGAATGGGTTCAGTAGTTTCAGAGAAGAAGATTTTTTAAAGTTGGAAAACATGATAAACAAATTGTGTAAAATTGTCCTTAAAGGGCAATAACTCTTTAAGGGGTCAATTGACAATTTTGGTCTTATTAAACTTATTTGTAGATCTTACTTTGCTGAACATATTTGCTGTTTTCAGTTTATCTTTATCATTAATACTATTCAAGATAATAACCAAAAACTGCAAAATTTCCTTAAAATTACCAATTTAGTGGCAGCAACCCAACAATGGGTTATTAGATTCATCTGAAAATTTCAGGGCTGATAGAACGTCACCTAATGAACACTTTTACCCCCATGTCAGATTTGCTCTAACTGCTTTGGTTTTTGAGATATAAGCCAAAAACTGCATTTTACCCCTATGTTCTATTTTTAGCCATGGCGGTCATGTTTTTTGACGAAACAGAAAATAAAACACAAACTTTATTTCAGATACCCTAAGGATCATTCAGCTTAAGTTTGGTTGGAATTGGTTCAGTAGTTTCAGAGGAGAAGATGTTTGAAATAGTTTACACCAGACGGAAGACGACGGACGCCAAGTGATGGCTAAAGCTCTGAGCTAAAAAATTGGAAACCCCCCTTCCCCCCAAAACTTTTTGAATCCCCCTTTTAGCATTAACCATCAAACTCAATTGCAGTCTTTCCTTTGAAGTATGGAACCTTGTGGTACAATTTTAGAGAGATCCATACACTTAATCATAAGTTACTGTCTGGAAACTAGAAAAATGATAAAGCACATTGAAAATTTATTCCGCCGGTCTGTCTCCATTCAATAAAGGAAAGTTGACGTTAGATTGATTCTGTAAAATTTTTTTAAACATCATTGGTCAAATAGCTAATTAAAAGTATTTGTTGTGAGATGTAAAATATTTTAATAAGGACATTCCCGATTAGGTAAATGTCGATCGCTTTGGACGGACCAAACTATATTAATGTAACTGATAATTTTCTCTGCACATTTAAATATTTAAGGTTACCGATGATAATTCAAAATAGCACAGTTTTTGGTTTATACGCTCGTTTTCGTTGGCCATTTTTATTTATAAAATTATTTCATGGAAAGTTATTCAGAATTCCGATGTTACAACAAAATACTCACCCATCTATTTAAAAACTGAGCTAACGCAAAATATAAAAAAATATATATAACGGCGATTCAGGTATTTTGCCACCATATTCCTCCCCAAATAATTATTTTTTTCTGTCTCAATCCCACATTTCTCTTTTATCATTTTTTTTTTATGTTTTTCAAACCGGAAAATAATTTTTGTTCGTAATTATTCGATCTCATTCCAATAAGACAAAGTTAACCTTAAATTTCCTGTCATTTTTTTAAACATCTTTATACGTTGTGAGATTTAAAATATTTTGATAAGGACATTAATTCCTGAATATGTAAATAAAGATCGCTTTGGACGGACCAAATTATATAATTGCAATTGGTAATTATCTATTTCAAATATTCAAGGTTACCGATTCTAATTTAAAATAGTACAATTTTTAGTTCATACACTCGTGTTTAGAATGCCATTACTATTTATTCAATTAAATTAATTCAGTATTTCATTGTTACAAAAATATTCAGCAGTCATAATTCATTTTAAACTGAGCTTACGGAAAATATAAAAATATACCACGGCTATCCAGTTATTGTGCCACCATATTACTCCCCCAAAATAATTATATTTCTTTTTTTATTTTCTGTCTCAAACTATCACTCCCATTAATCATTCATACGAAATGATGTTCACACCTGGAACGGTTAACCGTGACAGCTAAAATTCACTGAGTGAAGATCAAAAGATTAGAATTACAGAATGCAAACCTTTAAATACCTTGAATTTAACCACGCATTCAACAGGTAGTCACTAAGTGTCACAGTACGATACACATTGTATTTGCACAGTACTAACGGGAAAAGTTTGCTAGACTGAAGTAAAAGGTGGGAATACAAACATGCATTTTTAATACACAATCAGTTATATATGTTTGTTGAAAATATCCGTCGGAAAAAAAATTCATAAAAATATTCTATTGTATGATTTACTTTTATTACTATAATGACTATAATCATATCAGAAATCCTTAAAATATAAATCGTACATTTTATTTTTAAAAGTTGCACAACTGATCACTTTACTTTATTAATTATTAGTTGGTTAATAGCTACGCCAAAAGTCGTCGATGCGCTTTAAATCGCGTTATTAGATGATTAACGAACAAGACTTAAATGAGATAAATTCCATTCCCGGAATGCAAAAAAACTTAAACTACGTCACAGAAGTCAGGAAGTTCGAATAAATAAAATTAATAATTCCCAATTTTCTTCTTTATTAGTTTTCATATCCAGATAAAACTTGGTGAATATGTTTTTTATGGTATTATTAACATAATAAGATGATAAGTAAAAAATCACGAATTTTCCCTTTAATGTAGACCAATTTGAAAACGGGACCAAGAATTAAGAATCTAAATACACGGTTAGATTCAGCATATCAAAGAACCCCAATATTTCAATTTTTGATGAAATCAAACCATATCATTATTATTTGCTTTTATATATAAACCAGAAATAACCAATTTAAAAAGGAAAAAAAAAATCCCCCCCCCCAAATTTTTTGAACCCTCTTATGATTCATCACCCCAAACTCAATCCCAGCCTTCCCTTTGTGGTATGGTACCTTGCAGTACAATTTCAGAGAGATCCATACACTTGAACACAATTTATTGTCTGGAAACTAGAAAAATACTTGTTTTTTTTTTCCCTTTTTGGCCCCAAATTCCTAAACGTTTAAGGCAAACTCATGCCCAGCTTTCCCTTTGTGATATGGAACCTTGTAGTACAATTTTATAAAAGATCCATACACTTACACACAAGTTATTGTCCTGAAACTAGAAAAATGCTTGTTTTTTGCCCCTTTTTGGCCTCTAATTCCTAAAATTTTGAGGCAATTACCCCCAAAATCAATCCCAGCATTCCCTTTGTGATATGGAACCTTGTGGTACAATGTCAGAAAGATCCATGCACTAACACATAAGTTATTGTCTGGAAACTAGAAAAATGCTTATTTTTTGCCCCTTTTTCCTAAATGTTTTCAGCAATTACCCCCAAACTCAATTCCAGCTTTTCCTTTGTGATATGGAACCTTGTAGTACAATTTCAGAAAGATCCATACACTTACACACAAGTTATTGTCATGAAACTAGAAAAATGCTTGTTTTTTGCCCCTTTTTTGGCCCAAAATTCCTAAAATTTTGAGGCAATTACCCCCAAAATCAATCCCAGCATTCCCTTTGTGATATGGAACCTTGTGGTACAATGTCAGAGAGATCCATGCACTACCACACAAGTTATTGTCTGGAAGTTACAAAAATGCTTATTTTTGGCCCCTAATTCCTTAACTGTTGGTACCATAACCCCCAAAATCAATCCCAACCTTCCATTTGTGGTATTGAACCTTATGGTAAAATTTCAAAGAGATCCATTCACTTAAACTAAAGTTATTGTGCGAAAACCAATGTGTCTTCGGACGACGAAGCCAACGTCATACCAATATACGACCGCAAACATTTTTTGCGGTTGTATTAAAATCGCAATGATAAAAGCACGCAATAATTTCTGAATTTACAGTACTTTATTTGAACCTTTTCATTGTTTTTTTAACGTAAAAATGTACTTACATATAACATTTTAAGTCATTGAAATTCTGTTTATGCACTCGACCTAGACCGTACTCAAAAAACCCAGTATGCTCTTGAAAAATTAATTTATTCTAAAAATGACCTTCTCAATGCAATTACAAGAATTTTCATAAGGTGTCTGTATATCTAAGGATATAAAAATTCCAAATATACATTTCCTTTGACATTTGCATTGGTATTTGTATAAAAATAGCTTTATTCAAAATTTTGGCATAAAAGCATTGTAAAGCTAAATTAAACTTTTATAACACAAAAAAAACGTAGGATTGATGATATCTTTTTGTAACAGATACTCTAACTTACCTTTTATGATCTTGTATATTACGTTCAAGCATCTATTTCACGTCTTACAAGAACAGAAATCTGTTTGTTTACATATTTGATCATAATCACCTCGAAAAAAAAAACATGGTTCACTTGAAAAACCCGATCAAATCACCTGAAAAAAACAGGATCCCAGCCGGACACTACAACTTCTGTGGTATTTCTCATTATTATATATTTGCAATTGTGTAATTAAACACAATATACATTATTTGCTACAAAATGATATATTCATATGCATTTACTTATCTCTAGTTATATCTATTTGTCATCTGTATATTTCAGATCTGTCATTGCCTTCTTTAGTTATATTTAATAAAGCGTTTGAACATTCTGCCTTTGTCCACCTGGTCACATATAAATGCAATACATACCCCAGAGTAGTTTGTCAGAGCTGATATGTCAATTATGTTTGACAATTCGAAGGCTGCATAAGCTGACTTTCCAACTTCACAATCTCTGTAAAGTATAGATAATATTGATTTTCAATTAATGTTTTGGGATCAATAATCTCTTTTTTCTGTCATGCCCATATTTTGATTTATTTGGCTGTGATGAAAGTTCCTAAATTAAACACACCAAATAAGACATACAACCAAAAACTGAAGGACAAAGGTGTGTTATCACTGCTTATATTTAAGGTTCCACTAAAGTCAAAATATAGGACACTTCATAAACATATGTTCATTTAAACATACTTAACATATACACACTGTGTAAATTGTAAATAAACTTGAAATTGTTATGTTGTGACCAAATCTGGAGGCCTGCGAGACGACTTAATTTGTTTAAAATTGGGATGGACGTATACTGTTATATCTAATGCAGGGCAAGCTCATGTTGATTTTTCAGAAAATGTATTGATTTTCGAGTTTCAGTTAATTTCATGTATCTAGGTGAACAAATATCGAAGGTACAATACAGAAATTGGACAAATATGCCATTAAAACATATGTATGTGACAAATCAACATGAGCTTGCCCTGCATTACATGTAACAGTATTCGTCCATACCAATTTTAAGCAAATTAAGTCGTCTCGCAGGCCTTCAGATTTTTTTGAAAATTTAGTGTTCACCCCAAGAACCGGTTTGGCCACAACATAACAATTTCAAGTTTATTTACAATTTACACAGTGTGTATATGTTAAGTATGTTTAAATGAACATATGTTCTCAAAGTTTAGGACTTTACTCATTATAGGTTGAAAAATACAGGCAAAGTTTTCATGTTTATGAAGTGTCCTATATTTTGACTTTAGTGGAACCTTAAGTTTATGCTTTATTATACATGTATACATGTGTTTAAAAATTGATACCAGAGTTCACTTTCTTAACTGGTAAATTGAAAGTGTTTGCCAACAAAAAAATAAAAAATAAATAAATGAAATTACAATAAAAGAACATAATTCCAATGTTCCCCTCATGCACATATTTTATCTTTCCAAGGTACAAGGGTATAACACTTTTTTTTGTTTGTTCTTTAAAACTTTTTATAAATATCTTTAATCGATAAATGAAAGCTTCTGACAGCAATTGCAATGAGATTTCCGTTAAAATTAATATTTCCAAGGGGCATAACTCGTTAAAAATATTTTGATCAGCACTTTTTTCAAAAGTGTCAAAGACATTGCTGATATAAACATTAGATATAAATTTCATAAAAATCTGGCAAGAATTGTATACATGAGGGCGCTAACAAGGCAACTTCTGTTATAATTAATATTTCCAAGGAGCATAACTCTTTTAAAATCATTCATTTGCACTGATTTTCAAAACGTCGAAGACCTTGATGATATAAACCTTTAATACAAATTTCATAAAAATCTGGCAAGAATTGTACCCGCAAGAGCGCTAATGAGGCCATTTTCCATAAATTTAATAATTCCAAGGGGCATAACTCTTTTAAAAAAAGTCGATCGACCACCATTATAGAACTTGTCCGAGATATTGCTGATATTAACCTATAGTATAAGTTTTATAAAAATCTGGCGAGAATTGTACCTGTGAGAGCGCTAACGAGGCCATTTTCCATAAATTTGATATTTCCAAGGGGCATAACTCTTTTAAAAAAGTCGATCGTCCACCATTATAGAAATTGTCCAAGATATTGCTGATATTAACCTATGGTATAAGTTTTATAAGAATTGTACCTGTGAGAGCGCTAACAAGACAGGACGGACGGACGGACTTACCGATGCCCAGTATTTCTATGTCCTCCGCAAAAGAGTGCGCGGGGGACAAAAATGATACCTTAACCATGTTAACAATAACCATTATTTATATTATATATACTGAACAAAAAAATTAAATATGCATATCTAATTTTTATTTATTTTCCATAACAATTATTTATTGATTGGTGAAACGATATTGCCAATAAACATAAGTTAAAACAATTGCATAACACAACATTCTAAAAAACAAGAGGCATGAACAGCCATGCATGAGAAACAAAAATTTTCATGACGACAAATTAAAGGTAATTCATAATGATGAGGAATTCTTGTTTAATATTCAGTGGCAAATATAACATGCATTTCAGAACGAGAATAAATTAATGTGATAGGAATAATTTTAATAATGGAGCCTGCTTTGCAATAGACCAACACAATGAGCCAATTTCTTAACATGCTAGTAATATCACAAGAGATTTGTTATCCTACCTTAGCTACATTATTCTGAGTCTTTGATTTGACTTATTTGCAAATCTTTGATTTGACTCACGACCTCCTGCACTCAAGGCTATCAGGCTACCCTGTGACCAACAAGGCTGTTAAAATGTCTGTGACAACTCGTATGCAATTTGTCACAATATCAAGCCCCAGTTAAAAAGAGGGTCTAATGTGACAATTCCTTGTAGCAGACATACACAGACATGATCAACCAGGTACTTAACGAATTCTCTTCAACATATAATAGATAATGCTAGTGTTTAATGTTAATAGACAGTTGTTAGTCGTCTACATTTCATTTAATTTTATACCCACCTTGCTTAAGCTAAAATAAAGCTAAAATATCGGAAATTATTGATTCATAACATCTAAATTCTACATTTCTTTGGATTTGGCACCCATCAAAAAGGATTCAGAATCTGGTACTGCAACTTTAGAGACACCTGATCTTTGAATTAATGGGCTCCACTTTTAAGAAGAACTGACTTCTAAGTGGCATAAGTAGCAATCATCTCAAAGAGACATTCGTATATAAAAAGACATATCTATGATGATTTTTTACTACTGATGGTTGTTTCATCCCCGAGGGCATTTCCAGCTCAGTAGTCAGCACTTTTGTAATGACATGAAACATCATTGATATGTTTGTTTTTTCTGTAAATTTACTGTTAATAAAAGGTTGCATTATTCAAATTATTATAATCTTATAAATAAACTCATCATTATAAATTATTTAAATTTTAAGTAAAAATCAAGTGTCATGAAAGTCAAAAATTTCAAAATTATTTTTTAAATTAGCAAAGTGCGTGAGGTATCAAGCCAGAAGCAATAGTACACTACGGTCAAATATGACCTCATATTGAATTTGTGGACACTTTTGTTTTTTAAAGACGACTTATTGCTTCTATTTTTTTTACCGATTATTATTTGCCAGAGACGCATCTTTAGTAGTTACAAGTTTTACACGTAATTTATTGAGGTAACTGTGTACGCTTTGAATTCACCCTTTTGATCATAAAGCAAAGCCACAATCTTTCTTGCAACTGAAAGAGATTCCACAACATCAGTTTGCCAGATTTACAAAATTGGACACATCACTACACAACTGTTTCAGGACTTTGAAAACCGTTTTTTTTTTTTTACCTATGCCAAACTGCCAATGTTGAGTCACATCCTGCAATTGCATGCACGGCAGGCAAGCATTGACTGACGATGGAGTTTAAAAATTGAATAGTTCATGTATAGGTATATAGCGTCTTACATCCTTGGTGATGGTTACAGTTCCTGTGACAACCCAAGTTCTTCTGTGTTTTTCTAAGAACTAAAACATCTGTGTCAGAGGATTTCACTATGATCCTTCATTTACAGCTATGACTTCCAAACTGTCTTTTGGCACACATGGCTTGCAAATACTTACGCCTATCAGCTTCCTCATGGGTACTGTAAAGCTCGACGAAGTCAATGACAGTATTAGTACAAATGCATTTTTTTCATTTGAGGATGGGAAAAAGTTCAAGCTAAAAGTAAGTTCATTATTACTTGCTAGTGCATTATATTTGTTTTGGTGGTTACAAACAAGAAACTGGAGCAATGGTTGCTTATTTTTTATAGAAGATAAAAAAAAATCTAGTCTAGAATGGAGTGACCTTCAATTACCTGGAAGACCTTTGATGTAAAGTTTGATCTTTGGTCCCGTTTGGCTGCCTTGAAAGAAAGTTTGATGTCATATCTGTAAAAGACATCATCAACAGAAAAAGTAGCCCTTGAAAATCAGGGCAGCTGAGACTAGATGAACTCTATCCCCAGGTCACCAAAGGTTTTCAAATTTTTAGCATTAATACTCTGGATAAGAGACATACCATCCCTAATAAAAAAAGGTAAAAGATTTATCTAACTCAGTGACAAGAGAAACAATAAGATGTTTAGTTCTCGAGTTGAATGCAAAGATAGGCTATACATGATTTTCTCATGGTTCCGTCATCATGAAAAAGGGCTGAAGAGATCGGACCAATCAGAAATGACAAAACTTTTCAACAGAGCTAACACCTATGCTCGACAGAACATGAGTTCAGGATTGATATGAATATTCAAAAATTCTCCTGTTCTACATTTTTATTTTGTTTTCTTCATTAGGTCATAAAATGTTTATTAACTTTGACAGAAGCGAAGAATCAAAGAGACTACAAGTCTTGCCTTCCACAAATGCCCTATTGATAAATGATCTTGCCATTTTGTTACCATCATCAACAGCCGACATCAAAGAGGTCTGTATTTCTTTTGAAGTGTGTATTCCAATTGAAATGTTGATTAGTGATCTGGGAAGGAGTTCTGTAACAAACAGGTCAGTCATATTTTCAAGAACATGGTCTATAATTTTCTGAACTTGTTCTTCATCTCGTTTCAAAGCTGTTGGCTTTACTTCATCATGCACAATGCTTTTGTCGTTGATGCAACCAGACCTGGTTTTCATTTCTGACGTAAAATCTGCAAGCCCATGTCGAGTAAGTGACCATCTCATTAGGGCTGGTTTTTGACGTGTGATACCACTGATTCCACCACAACCTTTGGAATCCTTTATGACAGATTTTTCAGTTGCCATGTCACTCCATACGCCATTGAACTTTCCAGGCTTTTGACGTATCGAAAACTCATCTTGCTGAAATGCTAATTCTAAATCCAGTGGAAAAGCAAGCATATCAAGATGTTAAACAGGTAGCCATCTAGAGTAATTGATCATTTTTGTAACAAATATATATATACATAGGCCAACATGGCAGCATTGACTGCCATGTTTTAAGAATGGGCGAATTTCACAGCAAAAACAGTAAATTCGTGCTGTAAGAGACAGACTTTAGATTATGAGCCTCTTTGCTTCCTGTGGCTAGCTGTATTGATTGAACAACTTCCAGAACCTCTAGATGGCTACCTGTTTAACTTCTTAACGTCAAGTGAAGAGACCTGAATTGCCCTCTCTTTCTGATCTAACATTCAGAAGAAGTATTTAAATGGCTTTCAAAAACATGTCCCAGAACTTAAATGTGGAGGACTTTGCACAACCCCATCTCCGGAACTCTTCAATCAAATGCAGAATGTGTTTTTTTTTAAAAAAAAACCTTCACCTCAGCAAAAGGGTTTGCATCGGCAGTTTTCCGTGTTTGAAAGGATGACATGAATGAGGAAAAAAGGTCTATGTATTTTCTGGAAGTTGTTCAATCTTGTCATTATGCCAATGAAAGAATGCAGCTAACCACAGTGGACAAAGTGCCTCATAATCTAAAGTTAGGCCTCTTGCAGCAAGATTAAACTGTTTTCCACTTAACATCAGACCCACAGTTGCAGCAGCATACACAGTCTTGTACCCAAGGGTATCACTAGCCCTGTAGTCAGCACTTTGGGTTGACATTTAATATCATTGATATGTTAGTTTTTCAGCAAATTTACTGTTTATAAAATTTCGTATTATTTGAAACAGTAAGGTTTTTCTACCCCAAGGTATAGATTGCCGTAAAGCCTTATTTGGCAAATTTGTTCGGAATTTTTAATTTTAAATGTTCTTCAACTTCTTATTTGATTTGGCCTTCCACCTGTTTTATTTTGACCATCACTAATGAGTAGATAAAACACAAGTCTGGAATACTGAATAATTAAAGCTTTTGAACATAGTAATCTGATGCAATGAAAAAAGCTTACCTCAAAATTTTCTTCAATGATAATGAATGTGAGCTGTTCTGGAGAAGAAGCTTTCCAAACAAGGATCCAGTGCCTCCATACATTGAACGATACACATAGGTGTCTAAAATCTAAGGAAGAATACAAAGTCTAAATATTTTTTTAGCATTAATCTAAAAAAAATAGTACTTGAGCAAGTGCAGCTCATGTATGAACCCTTATAACTGTTATTTTCACGAAATTTTTAAGTCCAAAACCAGTAATTTCGGCAAAAATAAGGGAAGCAGAATCAAACATAAACTCGATCTGTAACTCATCATAGTTGATTCACATACTAAAAAATAAACTTTAGGGTTTAGAAAAAAGTCTGTATAACTGTCCGTTGTGTAATGACGGAATGACTGAATGACAGAATGACAGAGTGACAGAATGACAGAATGACGGATAAGGGTAAAACTATATGGCCCAGGTAACATGTATACTGGAGCATAACTGATCATTCCCTTTCACTGACACCTAAAAAACTTTTAACAAATTTTTTCCTTGTAAAATCAGAATTTTAAACTATCAACAAACAGAAAGTGGCTACACAGCAGGTGTAAAAATTGCTTACTCGATACAACTCAACATTATAAAACTGTAAACCAAATATTAAATCAATCCCTTTCACAATATCGATGCCAAGAAAACTTTGATGAAAATTTTCCTTGTACAATTAGTGTTGCAAAATTTCAAACTAGCTATCATCAAACAGGAAGTGGCTACATGGTAATTGAAAAAATTGTTAACCCTCTACCACTCAACATTATGAATCTGCAGACCAAATATTATATCATTTCCTTCAATTGGAGCTAAAAACTTTTAAGGAAAATTTTCCTTGCACAATGAGGGTTGTAAAATTTCAAACTATAGGCAAACCGGAAGTGGCTACATGGCAAATGTGAATATTTCTTACTCCCTACAGCTCAACATTATTAAGCTGCAGACCAAATATTAACACATTATTTTCAAAAGAAGCCGAGAAAACTTTGACGAAAATTTTCCTTGAACAATGAGTGCGGTAAAAATTCAAACTATAGGCAAACAGGAAGTGGATACATGGCAAATGTAAAAATTGCTTACTTTCTACAAATCAACATTATATAGCTTCAGACCAAATACTAAAGCATTCCCTTCAATAGGAGCAGAGAAAACTTTGACAAAAATTTTCCTTCAGATGGAGTGATGGAGTGACGGATGGACGAGCGGTTACTAGACCTACTTCCTTCGATGACACAGGTACAAAGAAAAGGATCAATAGGACAAACAGCAGAATACAAAACAAAACATAGGAAACTAAAGATTGAGCAACATGATCTCAACCAAAAACCGGGGTTGATTTCAGGTGCTCTGGAAGGGTAAGCAGATCCTGCTCCGCATGTGCAAGGCACCTGTCATGTTGCTCGTGTAAGTACAAACCCAGTGATAATTCAGTAGATCACATAAGGGAAAAGAAGGACGGTATAATATCCGTCGTCATATGTGAAACATATTTCATAAGTCAACCAACTTGTGATGCCGTCTATAAAATTTTCGAAGGGATGATTTCAACTTAACCACTTGAAACTCTTGGTTTAATAGCTTCCTTGTGAGCAGCAACCCTCTATCAAGGAAATAAAAAAAAGATCATATCAACAGGGAGATATATACATTCAGGCGCTGCTGGAATGTTGCTACATAGAAATGGAAAGTTCACAATTGGGAAGCTGAAATCATCCTGAAATGAGTCTAGATGCGCAATATCATAAACTTTGATATGCTAGATGGCTTGTTTCGAAGCTGAGACATATTCACATATGTGGTTAAATTTTCGAGGTACGAAGTGAGATTCATTTTTTCGTAATTTAGCACACCTCGAAAAGCCTTTTGTGATGCGGCTTCTCAGGGTAAAAAAATCTCTTTTTTTACACAATAAGTTCTTTGCAGACCTTTAATAACTCCATAGGTTTACACTTTTATTCTATGGTCCTCTGCTTTCCAAATCAGCACAAGTTGTAAAGCTCAGTCACTTGTTAAAAATAGAAACATGTCGAATATCACTGCACAGTGAATTTTTGTTTACACATTTCTTTTGAATTCCTCAATTTGAGGTGCATTAGGGATAATTACCCAAAAGAATTCTGCACAAAGGAAATGAATAACTTACAATTATTCATTACACCAAATATAGTTGACTTATTATTTATAGTATCTGAGAAACAGACATAACCACCAGAACTTTACATTGACCGATGAACCATGAAGATAAAGTCAAGGTCAGAAAACCCTGTCAGATGGATCAAGTTCAGAAAACCCTGTCAGATGGATATTGACCTTACAATCACTCCATACCACAAACTTAGATGACCTACTCTTTATAGCTGGTATCTGAGATAGGACTTAACCTTGATCACTGATCAATAAAATGAAGTCAACTCTGTATTAAGGACATGCAGACCTTGCAACGATCCTATATACTACAAATATTTATCCAATCACTCATAATAGTAAGTGATATAACAACTAGATAAAAATGTATGAAGACAAAAAAAATCAATACATTACTAAATATGTATTGCTATACAATTTTGAAAACTTTTTTCCCTCTTACTTTTATTGTACATGTCAGATTAGATAACAAGTTCAGGGTATCAAAACTTAAGGAGGGAAGCAGGTGTTTACTTCAGCTATCTATCGATTACATTTAGACTAATCTTATGGTAATTATATACTATTCCTTAGTTCATAGTTTTTTTTCATCAGCAGCAAATATTTGTATGAAATTTGGTGGTCATACATCCTGTCAATATTATAACTTATATTTCTGCATTGCACAAGGTAATGCTTTTCTCAGACTGTTTTTGACGTCTTTATACTAAATCCATTAGATGTGTACTGGTTGATACCTTAGTATGGGAGAACTAGCTTTCAGTAATTGCAAGTACTCTAAGATTGGTACTTTGTGTCTTTTGTGTTTATGTTAATCATTTTCTTGTGCTTCGTGCCAATCTGATGAGTCAAGCTATTTCTAATTGATATTTAGTTTGTAATGTTGTGATGTTGCACCACTATTACAGGTTTGATGGTTGAGTGCTCACGAACATTCTATATGTGCCTTTCCCTAGTCAGGAGCCTGTAATTCACTGTTGTTTGTTGATTACTGTCTGTTATATTCGTTTGCGTTGATCGTTTTGTCAGGAATCAGTTGCTTATTTTTTTAGTATGAATTTTTTCACATTTTTTCATGTTGGGGCTTATTATAGCTGACTACACAGTATGTTGTTTTCATTGTTGAAGGCTGTACAGTGACCTTTAGTTGCTTAAATCCATATCATTTGGTCTCTGCCGGATAGCCGTCTTATTGGCTATCATACAAAATCTTCTTATAATACAATTAATACAGTTTTTACAAGTAGTATCTGAACAATGAAAATGAGTTCAAGGAAAATGTATATTTCAGGGTCAATAACTCAAAAACTGATTGACAGATTTTATTGAAATGTTCAGGGTAAATAGATCTTTTCGAGCTGATCATTTTTGCAATTAAACTTTAAACTTAGTTCCTATATGTTATTTCACAATAGCAGCCAAAGACTGCAAAAAGTTATTATTGCAGGGACAATAACTCAAAAGGGATCAACAGATTTTTCTCCAATTTTTAGGGTGGATATATCCATCTTGTCGAGCTGGTCCCTTTTGCAATAGGTACTTTTAACCTAGCCCTAATATTTTTGGTGATAACAAAAAAAAATGCAAAAAAAACCCCATATTATTTCAGGGACAATAACTAAAAAATGGATTGACAGATATTAATCCAACTCTTAGGGTAAATACTTCGTGTCATGCTGAAACATTTTGCAATTCACACTTTTAATCAAGCTCTGATAGTTTAATTTCAAAATAACAGCAACTGCAAAAAAACTGGGAAAAAAAATCTATATTTCAGGGACAATAACTCCAAAACAAGTAGTCAGCTTTTTCAGGGTGAATACATTTTGTCATGCTGATCATTTTCACAGTTTTAACCTATAGTTCCTATAGTTTTTGAAAATCAACATTTCAGGGCGATACTGTATACTCAGAAATTATTGTGAGGTTTTTTTGCGAATAATGCAACTGGGTGAGTATTGCAATAATAAGAACTTGCATTATGATATCTGATACATATATCTGTATGAAGATTTTCCAGAAATTGCAATAATTAATATCGCATGTTCTTCCATTATTCAAAAATTGCAATAATAACTGTACACAATATTTTCTAAATTTACAGCAACTCCAAAACAGGTCAACAGATTTTTCCAAAATTTTGAAGGTAGATAATATAATTATGTTGTGCTGACCATTTTTATCCTGTCAGTTTTTCTCTAATGTTAGAGAAATAAGCAAAAACTGAAGCTTGGCCCGTGTGTTCTATCTTTAGACTGGGTGGCCATGTTGGTTGATCAACCTAACCAAAAACCACAAACTTTATAGTTGACATCATATAGATGAAGAAGGCCAACTTTGGTTTCAATCCATTGAGCAGTTTCAGAAGAGAATTTTTTTAAAAAGTTTACAGAGATCAGACAACAGACAAAGAACAATGAATGTAGGATGCAAAGTTCATATGGTTCCCTTGGGCCAGGTGATCTAAATTCCTTTCATTTTCATGATCACTTGGATTGAAATATGCTATTTTTTCATTTGAGTTCCAGTCAATCAAGCACTTCTTTTTCAACATACATGTAATTAATATTTCTAAAGACAATAACTCCCATAATTAAAGAACCTTAGTATGCGCGCTCAAATACCCCACGTCCCCACATTGTCATTGGAGAAATAAAATATGTGTAAGAAAAAAAAATTGTATAAGAAAAAAAAATTGAATCATAATTTCCTGTCAATATGCACATCTACATAGTATGTCCTTATTATCTAAAAAGGTTTCATGAAATTCTGTTGTGTGGTATCAGAGGAGTTGCGATGACAAACTGTTGCAGTAGCACATTGAAGCAAATAAGTTCAAAGGGGCGTAACTCCTAGAAAAAAAATTGAACCGTAATTTCCGGTCGATATGCACATCTACATAGTATGTCCTTATTATCTAAAAAGGTTTCATGAAATTCTGTTG